TTTTAACTTAATAAAATAACTCAAGTATATTAATATAATTTTAGTCAAATGTTATAAATTACTTTCTTTAGGTATTTATAAATGAGAATGTGTGTGTGTGTGTGTGTATAATTTTTAAATATGTTTAAACCACCGGTTCGACCAGTTGAACCACTGATTCGACCAGTGAACTAGTGAACCACAGTACCTTGACAGGTTCGGTCACCGGTTTGGTTCTGAAAACTATGTCCGTCAGCCCTGCCACAATTGACTCGCCCCTCAATAATCACCAGTGTCACACCATCGTCCATAGCCGCCGCCATCTCTATCTCTGGGAGACAGTGAAAAGGGAAGAGAAAAAGAAGGGGAGAAAGTTGAGAAGTAGCACAGATCTACCGTAGATCTGGGAGAGGGAAGAGAAAAATTGGAAGAGGAGGACGAGGACGATGAGGAGGAGGAGGACGATGAGGAGGAGGAGAAAAGAAGAAGAAAAAGAGAAGAGGGACTGATGAGGAGGAGGTATTGATGAAGAAAAAGAGAAGATTGAGGAGAGAAGGAGAAAAAGATAAGAAAGGAGTGGCGAGGAAATGAGGAAGCGGAGAGATAGAGTGCAAATGGTAAGTGGGGGTATTTTGGGTAGTTTGTGTATGAAAAATTGAAATGAGAAGATTATTTTCGGACGAAGAACAATGAGAAATGGGAAGATTATTACCGGATGGCAGGAGTGATTCAATTTAGGATTGTTTTTAAATAAAGAGCAATTTAAATGATTTTACAAGTCTAGATTAAGTAATTTTTCTAATTAGATTATTGAATATGCCTTTACTGATCTGACATTTGGGCTCTTCTTGCTGGGACTTTAAGCAAAAGCAGGATCAGGCTGTTTTTTTAAGGTTTAGTGAGCTAAAGGTAGTTTTGTTTAATTGCACGAGAGCGTGCAAAAGGCTAAGTATGAGAGTATTTGATAAGTCCACAAATGTTACATTTTATTCTCATATTATCCCTATTTAGAACATTCCAAATGTATTTTATACATATTTAGTCACAATTTTTATTATATAGCAATTTAGGCCATTATTTAATACATAAAATGCATTGTTTTGGGCCTTCTTTTTACCCTATTATTTTTATACACAAGTCTTCTAGATACTTTATATTGTCAATTACTGGTGGGGTATAGAAGATGTCAATTTCAGATTTGTCCAAGAAAATGGAGTATGATTGGGCCAAACCACTTGGGTCTTAACCTAAATAGTCAAAACACAATTTGGAGACTACCAAAGATGTAGGATCCGAAATTGGCAGCCCAATCTTGCGTTACATCACATCTAAAATCTCCACTCTCCAGCACAAGAAAGAGTCCAAACAAGTCCAAGACACAGAGACTTCTCCTTCGAATCTACCGGCAGCGCAACGTAATGATGCGAGAAGATTTTCAATACGTCGTTTGATACCGAAAACCTTCAATCAAAAAGAGATGGGGTGAAGTGAAATGGAAATGTGGAAAATGTAAATGAGTGAGTATAGTGGTGGAAGTAAGGGTTGTCGTGTCCACGAGGATAGTGTAATTGGTTAGGAATCAAGTGCAGAGTATAACTAAACACTAATATCAAATTGTTACTTGATCAAAATGATTCTTATCTGATTGGAATAAGTTCTAATATGATATGTATGTAAATATATTTAAAACTATTTCTAATATCATTTGAACTGACCTATTCTAATAAAAAAGTAATATGTAATAAGAATAAGTTGAAGAAACATGATCTCACCCTAAAAACTCCAAGTTTGGTAGTACAAGTGGGGCCAAATAACACTAGTACCCTCTCGTGGTTTGGAAAATAGGCACTAATACCCCACCTAATATAAAAGTTTATTTTTGAAGTCCCTGTGGTTTCAAAATGTTGCACCCATACACCATTTGAACATTTGCTGACCATTTTTTTGGCGAAGAGTGGGCATTGGGGCTTATTTTTCAAACCATAAGGGGCACTGGTGCTTACTTCTTATTTTTCATTTATTTTTTATTAATCAAAGGTTTTTAAATTTTTTTTGTAATTGTTTTTATAATGCTTGTAAAATTTAAAATTATTTTTTTTGAAAACATAACATATATTCGATCCGTACGTGTTAAATTAATAAAATTTTTTATTTTTTATTTTCAAAAATAGAAAATTAAAAACTTGTTTTGATAACTTTAAAAAATGATGAATAAAATAAGAAATGAAATAAAAATAATAAAAATGAACATCTTTGTTAAAAATCTCAATTCTAAGAATTTTTTGAGGCGTTCTAAAAATATCTTTTTGTATAAGACTCTTTTTTAGAATGTTTCAAATTTTTTTCATTTCGTTTTTCCATATTTTTATTTTTATTTTAGTATTTTTTTGTTTTCTTTTGAACTTATCAAAAATGTTTTTCTAGAAAATAAAAAGTTAAGAAAGAAAAAAACAAAGTAATAAACGAAAAATAAGAAATGAGCATGTGTGTCTCTTATGGTTTATAAAAATAGACACCAACACTCTTTTTTTGCTGGAAAATGACCGAAACATGATTGGAGGGAGTCTGGATGTTACATTTTGAAATCACAAAAACTTTAAAAATAATCCGTGGCTACTTGGCCGTGCTACTACCTTCCTAGTTCCCAATTGGATCATGCTACATTTACACCAAAATTTGTACTCCAAACTTACACCAAAAGTATACACCAACATTTTGATGGCTCACACTGACAGAAAGTGTTGGTGCGTTAACAAAATTTACACTGACACAAAGTGTTGGTACGTTAGCAAAAATTAGTATTACACCAACACAAAATGTTGGTGCACACTTGCGGTGTACAAATGGGGTACAAAAACCTTGGGGTACAACTGTACAAGTAGTTTTAAGCTGTGTTTGGTTTGAGGTAAGGTGAGGTAGAATGAGGTGAAATTCAATCTTTACCTTGTTTGGGAGAAAAAATTAAGGAAGGTAAGAGGAGGCGGGGGGAGGTATGGTGACCGGTGAGCAGTGTAAAATCTGGTTCCTCGGAAAAGGCGAGCAACCAAGGTAAAATTTCTGCCGCTGCTTTCTTTCTGCGATTGGCCCCCTCTGCCATAAGGTGAGGTCTCAATTTTTTTCCTTCTTTTTGCTTTTCTTTTTTCTCTGTTTTTGTGTTTTTTTGATGTTTTTTTCTAATTATTGTATTAACATGCTTTGTTTTTTTCTGGTTTTTTATGTTTTTTTCCGTTTTTGTTTTAAAATTTTTTGGGGGGTTTTTTTGCTGTTTTTTTTCGTTTTATTTTTTTGCCTTTTTTTCTTATGTTTTTTTCTGATTTTTTTGCTGTTTTTTCCATTTTTTGCCATGTATTTTAATATCATTTTTTATGTTTTTTGCCTTTTCTTTTACCTACTTTTTCAATATTTATTGAAATATATTGTTTTGTTTTTCAATTTTTTTAGTTGTTTGTTTTTTTTCAATATGAATTTTTCCTTGGAGATGACATTCTGGCTAGGTGGATTTGTAGACATATAAATACATCCTAAAGAAATAAGGAAAAACAACTATAAGGATATTTTAGTAATTTTATTCTTTCCCTACCTCAAGTTGCCTATTAAACATCCAAACACAATGTTTTAACTCATTACCTTACTTTACCTACTTTCAATTACCTACCTTCAATTATCTACCATTACCTACCTAATAAAACTTTATCTACCTCTAACCAAACATACCATTATCCTTCCCAATTCCATCATGGGTGCTGCTGTTTGTGGTAGGGATGTAAACAAATCAAATATTTTAAATTCGATTCGCGATTTGTATTCGAATATGATGATTCGAATTCGCGTTATTCAAATACAAATTCAAATTCAAATATTATTTTTTATTCGAATATTAATCAAATACAAATACAAATAGGGATATATTCGATTCGGATGATATTCGGATATTCGAATATATGTATATATATACACAGACCTTGTTTTCAACATCAAAAGTCAAGCAAAGTAATATAGTATAAAGTGTATTTAAAATACTAAAAATTTAATAAATTAATGTAACACAAAAATCTAAAGCATATGATTTTTAATAGTTATATTTTATAAAATATAATTTGTGTAAGATGCAAATGTATTAATGTTTTTATATACGAAATATAGTATAGTATAAAGAGTATCGTAAGTTAAATTATAAATTGATGTTGGTCCATCATATAAATTACATAGTATGATTATTCAAATATTCGTTTATGATTCGATAACTATTCGAATATTAATCAAATACTTATTCAAATCTTATTTTGAATTCGTCTCATATTCGGATTCGTATTCGAAAAAATTAAACAAATACAAATTCAAATATATCGGTATTCGCTTCGATTCGGTTCGTTTACACCTCTAGTTTGTGGCGAGTTGGTATATCGTACATCCGGATGTACCTAGAAATAGGTACATCCCGATAGTACTCAATCTTAAATAAAGTAGTATTCATTCTCGTACAAATATAAACATTCATTTCGAAATACGTAGGACTCATTCTGGCAAAGATAGTACTCATTTTAAAATAAAGAAGTACTCATTTTTACACATTTATCTAATATAATTATAATAAATAGTGTAGTGTTCATTCTTTAAAAAAAACAATACTCATTCTCAAATAAGGAAATGTTCATTTTGAAATAAAGTATTGTTCAATTTTTTCACAATTAAAAATTTCAGTACCATTATCAACTTCTTCCTCTATTCGATTCGTTCCTACTCATTTATACTTTCTGAGCATGGAAAATTTAAAACTCAGGGTTATTCATGTTTGTATTGAATAAAAATGCGATAATTCTCATAAGTGCTGGTACTCTTTCTCAAATCTGCTGGTACTCATTGTCATATATAATAGTTCTCATATATGTTCTTGCCATTAAATAAAAAGTTTGCAAAATTTACAAAAATATGAGAATGTAGAATGTACCTAAAGGAAGTGGTACAAACTGATGCACCATATAATTTGCGGTTTGTGGCAGTCTCCAAATCCGAAGTCCTAAGTCCAAGAGATCTCTCAACTACTGTCTTAAGAGGTTGTCTCTACTGTTACCATTCACTCAGTTTAGGGATAGAGAGAGAATGATCGGCGGAGGAGGGAGGAAGAACGCTGGCGGTCGACCTGTGTCGCCATTTGTGTTGGTCCTTATTTCCTTGGGGTTCTTCTTCGCCACATACAATCTAGTCACGCTCCTCATCCACCAACGAGCAACAGCCTCCAGCACCGTCCAAGGCGGAGACTCGTCATCCGGGCGGCGGCCGCACGGCGGCAATCCGAAATTTCACATCGCCCTCACGGCCACCGATGCTCCCTACAGCAAGTGGCAGTGCCGTATCATGTACTATTGGTACAAGAAGACAAAGGACATGCCCAGATCAGATATGGGCGAATTCACCCGCGTGTTGCATTCGGGTCGACCGGATAATCTCATGGAAGAAATCCCTACTTTTGTTGTTGATCCGCTCCCTGAGGGAATCGATCGGGTGAGAACTAAATTCTATTTGACTTAGTTCTGCTTAATCATAACGTTACTTTTAGCGTTCATCATACTTTATAACCGGTTTAAAAAGCCATTTAACTACCTACGTTAATTTTCCTTGGAAATATGCTATACTGATGGTAATTCTCCCAGGCAAGCAGCACAGTTATGCCCCATTGATTATGTATTAAAAAATAACATTGAGTTGAGATAAATAGTGACATTCAAGTATTCTAATAACCGGAAGAACTTCTAGTATATATGCATTTAAGGTTGAAATATACTCCGTAGAACATTAGATCAGGGAGAGGAAGAGAAGTATCTACTACCTAGTACCTCCTCCTTTTAATCTCCTCTATTGATTTTGTGCATTTTTTTAGAATGTGGATACATGGTGGTTATTCTGGTTGACATCAACAACCACAAAATCTGATCTTTAAAATAAGATGAGAGATATTACTTTGGGATGAATGAAAAACAAAAGTATAAAGCTAAAAAAGGGGGCAAATGGAGTACTTTTATTGATGAAACACATAGAGTTGCAATAAAATATACTCCCTCCATCCCACAAAGAACTTTATTTTTTGACTTTAGAGAATTTGTAAAAGTGTTGGAAAAAAAAGTGTCGGTGGAATTTGCTTTAAAAAAGAGAATTTTTGTAGCATATATTCCTTAGCTTAAGTTAGCTTTAAAGGAAATAGTAAAAGTCCGAAGTTTTTTTGTGACATCCAAATAAGGATACTGTGGAATTCTTTCTATGACGGAGGGAGTGTGTATAAGAGGAAGATTAGAACTTAGAAGGTTTTGCTTTTAAATGTGGAAGTTGCTTTAATAGTCATTTGTTAGGTTCAAATTGAATCAAATATCTAAATAAGACCACGACTTACACTATGTGTTGGGTTATTGTCATCAGTACTAAATTTTTCATTGTCAAGCCAGGAAACATTTTTTATATTCTAACACGCCACTCACGTGCAGACATTGTCTTTTTGAGCCTTGCACGTGAAACCTTAAAATTTTTAAAACTGGGTGGTGCTGAGTTTCAAGCCTGCGATCTCTTAGTCAACAAAGCTCTGATACCATGTCAAGAAGCCAACTCAACCAAAAGCTCAAGCTTTTGGTTGTGGTCAGGAAATGTTTTTTATATTCTAACAGTCATCACTTCAAAACAATAGCAGTAGTGGATACTCTCTGCCCTTTAAGAGTTGTGGATGTCCAGCGGACAAAGTCCATATAAAAAAATCACTTTGCTTATTAGATGGTTTAACACTTTACCTATAAAACATGAGGATGTGCCACAAGCCAGTTCGAGGTGGAAAGATTATGCCTTTCCTCCCATACACAAAACACTTCAAGCGCTTGAAACATCGGTAGTGTTGGTTGACAAAGTGTGTGCGTGGTTTCTTCAACATTTGTACACTTCTAGTTAGCTCTGACAATCTAGCTTCATATGCATTAACAAACTTGTTGAAGATTGAGTATTTTTCTTGCTCTATGGAGCACAAGTTCACTTAAGATTTATTTATACTCACATGACGGCTTTATGCAGGGTTACATTGTCCTTAACCGACCATGGGCTTTTGTTCAATGGCTGGAGAAAGCAGAGATTGAGGAAGAGTATGTCACTTGTGTGCCTGCAACTGCAAAAGTGTTACTGTCTCAGATTTTGATAGTATTAATTTTAGTACATGCTGACTGATGCAGATACATTCTAATGGCAGAACCTGATCACATATTTGCAAACCCTTTGCCAAATTTAGCTTTTGGAGGGCAGCCAGCTGCATTCCCCTTCTTTTATATCAAACCTACAGAGAATGAGAAAATTATAAGAAAATATTATCCAGAGGAGAAAGGCCCTGTAACTAATGTTGATCCTATTGGCAATTCTCCAGTTATAATCAAGAAGGTAATGCTACTCATCAAAGAAACATGGATCAAAATTTGTAAGACCTTATATGCTGAATGGGATTACTATGTTATGGCGATTTAGTAAATGCTTAAAAGATCACACCAGGAGAGAAGAAGACGACTCTTGCAAAAGCAATAATTTTATTCAGAATATCTTGCAGACGAAGCTATTTAGTAGACTATATGATTTACCCCTTACATTTTATTATTCACCAATATGAGTTAATCATTGCCTCTGAATTTATATGGTTTCGTTTGTCTTCGTGTCGGAGCAGTCTGTTCTGGAAATAATTGCGCCAACGTGGATGAATGTTTCTCTGAGGATGAAAGATGATACTGAAACTGACAAGGCATTTGGATGGGTTCTAGAAATGTGAGTTGTGTAACTTGTGTTCATGCTTTGTTTTCCATTATCAAATGACAAGCTATGGTGTCAGCCTTTTGATTTTGGGTGTAAATTGTTTGTTTACCAGGTATGGCTATGCTGTGGCATCTGCTTTGCATGGTGTTAGGCATACTCTTCATAAAGACTTCATGCTCCAGGTTTTTGAAGAACTAAAACACATGTGTGTTTGTTTGTTTGTGTGTCTTAGTCTTACTAACATAATCCTTTTTTTTGGTTTTGTTTTATACTTTAATTGGTCAACCCGGCACTTCTTTCTTCATTTTTTCTTTTTAATATTTTCATACAATTTTTGAAATGATTTTTTTCTGTTTAATGCGTCTGTTTACTTCTATCCCAAAAAAGTTTCACTCTTGACTTTATGGAGTTTCAGAAAATTGTTAAAAAGCAAAAAAAGTGTGATTGAAATTTGTTTAGAAGCGAGAGAGAGGCTTTGAGCCATTTACTCCTGTCCTTGAAAGGAAATTTGGGAAGTGCAAAGTTTTTTTTGTGACATCCCATAAAATTATGAGTGATATTCTTTTGTGGGATGGAGGGAGGATGTAATTTACTAATTGTAAATTAATTATAATAATTAATGAAATATAGTTGTAAATAATTTTATGGTATGTTTGGGAACTTGGATTTGGATTTCAAATCCGGATTTGGCTTGAATTCCTTGTTTGAGAAACTTTAAAAATTTGTATTTGGATTTGAGTCAAAATCCTCTAGTTCATAACAAAGCTCAATTTGAAATCCATATACCTCCCATTGTCATTTGAAATTCAAGAATTCAAATTTGGGAATTGAAATGCATGAATTGAAATGAAATGTTAGTTCCCAAACACTACCTTAGTGAATCCTACTTGCATGAACCAAGCATATAAAAATGGGATGAGTAGTGTGTAAAATTGACAAATTAGTTGTTTCTTGACAAAAAGATTGATATACATACCAGCCTCCTTGGGACCTTGAAGTTGGCAACAGATTCATCATTCACTACACATATGGTTGTGATTACAACATGAAGGTTTGTTTTAACATTCTACATCTAGTTCACTTAACATCATCTTTCTAGCTTGAGAGTGTAAAATAAGTATGTACATCCTTGTCCTATGGTGCTTTCAACAGGGAGAACTGACATATGGAAAGATTGGAGAATGGAGATTTGACAAAAGATCTTATCTTCGAGGCCCTCCGCCAAGGAACCTCCCGTTGCCTCCTCATGGGGTTCCTGAAAGTGTGGTATGTATACTCTTCCTGGGAACATGTTTGGAGAATCCTTGGAAGTTGGAACTGAAAAGAAAATCATCATAAGCCGCATAATTCAATTCATTTGTATTTATAATCAATCCAAAAATGGACTTGCCTGTTTTTCTGGATCTCCATCGCTCTATAATAAAAGTAGAAATAAATAAGCAAGAACATACATTCACTAGAGTAATTGGTATTGAGGGGGTGAAATTCACATTGAGTAAATATAAAGACATAATCCAAAATATCTAAACCTCATTGGTTTTTGTGAGAATGGAGTTGAATGGACCTTGGTGAAAGAACAAAGAATGATGCATTTTTGTTCGCCATCGTGCATTTTACAAGCAGGTAGTGCATTTTACAAAGTTCTATTTATTTACAAAACTACCACCACATATTTCTTGGTTTTTTCTTATTTTTTAAAATTTTTATGACCCTTAGATATCACATTGTAAAACGCTACATGTATTCTTATTTTATTCCTAAGATCTTATTCTCACT